CCCCCGACCCACCTCCCGGCTGCTGCTCTTCTGCCTGCCCCGAGATGGATGTTCCTTTATTGCCCATAAATCTTTGCACAGCTCTTTGTGAAGACAAATCAGAGGCCTCCTGTTCTCCTGTGTTTGTCAGGGCCGCTTGGCAGTGGGTTTAATTAGTCCTCTGTCCCAGCAGGAGCAGCTCTGGAGAGGCGAGGTGCGGGCCAGCACCATGCAGTGTTTGCAGAGAGAGCCATCCTCTGCCCTCACTTTGTCTAGGGGGACCGAGGTAGGGCGGAGGGAACAATGTGCCACTCCTTCCTCATGCATCCATCTGTGTGGACGCCACACGCCAGGCCATGTAATGTGGCCTTCCCCTGTCCATGCTTGCCCAGGTGGCCAGGGTGTGATGCCAGCAGCCTCGGTGCCCTGCCAGTCCCTAGAAAGAAAGTCTATGGGTCTGAAGGGGTACAGAGTAGGTACCTGATTAAATGATGTGCTGATTGGATGCCTGGAAGAATGGGCTCTGCCCATCCTTTCCTGGACTGGAGAATGAAAATTCCTACACCAAGCTCAGCCCCAGCACTGGCCAAAAGGATGGGACCCTCATGGATCCAGGTGTCCATGATTTGGAAGCTGGGTGTGAGTCCTGTCCTGTCCCCTGTGGCTGGCAGGCCATGCAGGGTCTCTCACATGCAATCTGCTGCCAGAGTGAGGAAAGTGTGAGTGTGCAATACTCAGAATATCAGGCTGCATACTCTGTGGATGTCAGAGTCAGGGGTCCCCAGAGCCAGCATAGGAGCTCCAAAGGGGCGAGGTGTGCTCCAATGTTCAGCCTGGTTCCACCATGTGCTACATGGCCTTGGGGTCCTCTTGGCCTGCCCACGCCTGGGAATCCAGGTCTGAGCTTTGTGCTATGGTTCAAGGGCCAAGACAGGTTTCTGGATGGAGGAGTACTGGAGGGAGGGGCTGTGTGGCAGAAGAGGTCTGACCTCCAGGGAATATCAGCCATCACACTGGTCTGATAGTCCCTCTACTGCCAGCTGCAACAAGGACCCTTCCACAATAGCTTGCTCATTCCTCACCATGGGCAGGTAAACTGAGGGTAGTATCCAGTCATTGCAGTACTGAGCACCATACCTGCGAGAGGCTCTTGAGGAATTTGTCCTAGGAGCATTAGTGTCAGGTCCTAGCCCCAGATAGGCCTGAGTGGCCAGGGCCATAATCTGGTTTCAGATCCAGGGTTGGTGCTTTTGGGGACAAGCCAAGCCTCGGAATCCTTGGGAGTACTTGACCTCATTCTGTACCCTCCCACTGGGCAGGCCTGCAGGGGCCACCATGCCAAACCAATCACATCCCTTCTTCATAATCTCTGAGTGGTGGGGCCCTCAGATCATGTCTCCATGGGGACACCAAGGTCCCTTGCTGCACTCTCTATTTGAGGCCAGCTGTGGTGTGCCAAGTCTGTTCTGCAGGGTCCAGGTGTCCAGAGTAGCTGGGAAAAAGAAAACTAGGGGAAAGGCAAATTCAAATGGAGGAGAGAAAGCAAGCAGGACTAAGGCAAGGCCACCAGCAAGGAACAAAGGCATAAAGTTGGCCACCAGAGGGGTTGGAGCACCATTAAGAAGTCTTCTCTTTAACTGGACCTCCCAGTTAAAGGCTGGGCCTCCCACTGTGACTGGAAATGGGCTGGGGTCATCTGTTCACAGCCTAGAGTGTGGCAGGGTGAAGACAGAACCTTGGTTCACATCTGGGCATGTAAACAAGTATGGACTCAGGTCCAGTCCTGCCCAGACATGTCACTTCTAGCTTCCAGGCCTCAGTTTCTTCATTTACACATTAGGGACATCAGCACTGTGTTCTTGTGAGCTGGAGCTGGGGCCTGTGAGGGAGGCATGTATCCCTCACTGTGAGGAGGGGCCCCCACTTTGCTGTGGCTGTGACTCGCCCCAGGGCCTCAGCTCAGCCAACAAATAAACTCTCACTTCCCTCCAGACATGTTTCTGGCATGTTCTCGGTCTCACTGGATATTACTCCACCATCAGCTGCTGCACATTCTGCTGCTTCTATTATTTCAGAACTAATTTAAGGATTAAAAAAATAATTCTCCCAATTACCGTGCAAAGCCCCGGACAGCCAGATAGACAGGAGGCAGGTGCTCCTGTCTGAGGCCAACTGTGCAGCCTCCAGGCAGCTCTGGGGACACCTTGCCAGTGGTCCCTCATTGCTCTCTCAGGGCCCCAGAAGTAGTGTTGTGGCAGCCTGAGAGTGGCCCTAAAGAGCAACCTAGTTCTTGAGCTCAGAGAACCCTGAGAGCTGTTTGCACCTGACCCATTTACCTGGGTGGCTACAGCCACTGGGAGTCTGCCTCCAGATTTCACCTTCCACCAGTTATGCTCAGTGGCTCAGTTCGGGCAGGGCCTGAGACACAAGGATAGGCCTGTGAACTGTGAGGGATTCTGTCCACTGTGGATGGCCTGGCATCTTGAGATGGAGGCCAGCAGCACACATGGGAGGCCAGCAGTGGGCATCTGAGGGAAGGCTGACACACTGCACAGTGCTTCGCATGGCTTTAATTAGCTTGGTGTACAGGCTTTAAGGTCCCAGAGGCCCAGGCCGGACCTCAGCTAGTAGCTCACAAGTCCAGTTCAGCATCTGATCTCAGAGAACCAGCTGGGGCAGAGCTTGGCCAGTGGGGATGAGGAGGGGTTAGGGTGGGCAGAATCTGAGCCCCTGGGCTCTGGTCCAGTACCCCACCCCCCTCCAGGCCCCTCATCATCGCCGGCCGGTGATCTCATCTCTTCCTGGGCTGTAAATATCACCCAAACGCTCACGACTCCCAAATGTGTCCTCCAGCCGGGCCCCTCTCCTGAGCTCAGCCTGCACAGCCCACGCGACACCCCCGCCCAGATGTCTCCCGGGCCTCAACAAGGCGGCCGCTCCTCCTGGCGCCCCCACCTCAGGGACAGGCACCCTGTGCCGGCTGCTTAGGGCAGACGCCTGGGAGCCCTGCCCGCCGCCTCCGCCCATCCTGTCAGAGTCCAACTTAAAACATATCCACTGCCTTCTGGATCCTCCTGCCCCCTTCTCAGGCCTGGCTAGACTGTGGCGACCCCCCAGTCCCTGCCAGTGCATGCTGCTGCCCCTCTCCTGCTTTGGAACTAAGGTCCCCTGGGTGTCCTATCCCCCTGCTTCACCCTTAGCTTCTGTGTCACCTCCTGGGTAGCCCATTATTCCCACTCCTTGACATGCCCCAAATTTCTCCCTAAAGAAGGGAGGGTACAAAGTCCTCGTGGAGAGGCCAGGATCTCTGATGGTATGAGCAGTGGAGGCAGGGTCCAGGCAGGGCATTGGGTTTGTCACTCTGGTCACAGCCTCCTGAGTGAGGAGTGGGCCCAGCATATGTAGTAAGCTCCCTGTTCTGGGAGGTATGCAAGCTAAGATAGGACCCGCTGTTCTTCTGTAAGCCACTGATGGTGCCAACATCTGCTACAGGCAGCCAGTTCAGGTGGCCCCAAGGGAGGCTAAATGGGAGGCTTTTTAGTCCTGACTTGCATGCAGGAGCCTCCAACCACAGCTCAAAGCCCTGCCCCCTCTCCTAGATCTAGCAGTTTGACCATGTCTTCTCAGGCAGGGCCACTTGGGTGAAGAAATCCCTGCCCATGCTTTCGATACTGGGCTGTCTACAGAGCTGCTGTGCTGGGGCTGCCAAAGCAGAGCAATGGGGTCTCCTGGGGTAGAGAGAGGCTAAGGTGGATTCTTGGGCAAAAAGTGCTCCCACCTGTGTAAAACCTGCTTTAGTTGCCTCAGCTCCAGCCCCAGGGGCATGCAAGGCCGCTGGGCCCTGCAGCTCAGGTGTCCCAGTGTCCACTATGCTCTAGCAGACAAATTGCAGGTAGAGGTGTGGGCAGCCACGTGGGAGGTCGGAGTGGCAACTGAATAGGCACAGCACAAGGGTCTCCTAGAGGAAAAGATGGCATAGTGGGAAGGGCACATGGTGGAATGGCACAACTGCTGAAGAAAGGTAAGGGCCAGGCAGGACCTTGGCATCCTGAATCTGGCCTGGGCCTCCCACCTTGGGTGGTGGTTGCTAAACACATCCCTCAACCCTCTCCTCCTCCCCTGGGCTTCTGGAGCCCTAGCCGCCCCCACGGCCATCTGGCTCCACCAGCAATGCTCCCCCACTCTCTCCTCCAAGCCCTTGCATTTTTTCTCCTCCCTGTCCCCCAGCCCCTGCCTGAGGGGAAGAGGTGTCTGCCCCAGTGGCCCTCTGCACAGTGTCCTGGTCACATGGCCCCTTTCCTTTTAGTTTCTGAGTCCTCCCTGGTCCAAGCTTGGGAAAGTGCTTGTGCATATTTTTATCTGTGTTGCGCATGCTGTTTTTAAGCATATGTCTTCACGCGTGTGTGTACACGTGTGGTTTCCGCTGTCGTGTGTGTGTGTGTGTGTGTGTGTGTTGTGTGCACACGTGGGCATGCAGACCTTCAGGAACCTGCTCCTAGGCCATGGGGCTGTAGTGTAGGGGGCACAGGCATTCAGGCCAGGTTGTACACGACCCCGCCCCGCCACAAGCCTGGTCTTACCCACTCAACTCTCCTTCAGGCACATCCCCCTCCTCCTGCCTATCCTCCAGCAGTTCTGTCCTCATCCCCCACATTCAACTTCTTCATGGGGGCCACGCCAGGCCCGGGCTGGAAGGTACCAGAACAGATGTCCCCACAAAAACAGCCTTGTCCAGTCCCGTGGGCCTGGCATGTGCTCTGTCAGCCCAGCTCTCAGGGAAGGTGGCTGTCAGCTGTGGAGCAAGTTTAGTGGATGTGGCCAGTGTGTGTGTGTAGGGGGATGCACAGGGTTACCACCTCCTGCCTAGTGTCTGAGTGCTCCCCGCCCCCACTCAGCCCATGCAGTAGGGCAACTGCGTGTCCTCTTGGAGCCTCTTGTGTCAGAGCCTGGGAGAGGTGCTGTGCCCGGGCCCACCCTTGCCTCGCACCACCCACAGCACTCCCAGCCTGAGAGGCCACAGCTTAAGAAAAGAGCTCTTTATTCCACGTCATCCGATATTTTTACACAAGTAAAATAAAATGCGTATCTCTCTATACCGCAATCCGGGTGGGAGATGACGTTCTGGAACAAACGCCACCCCCTGGAACCCTGTAAACATGATGGGGTGGAGATGGGGTGGGCTGGGGGGGAGGTGTCCGTCAGGGAGGGCCTAGCCTGCTCTGTGGGGTCTGTCCCAGCTCTGGCTGGTGGTGCGGAGGGAGACCCCGTATGTACACACACCTGGCTGCCGAGAAGCTCTCGTGGCAGGTCAGCAGGGTCCGAGCACCGTCCACAGCATCAGTGCAAGGCCCAGGGGCACGAGGCTGCAGGCCAGGGCTGGCAGGGCACCTGAGCCCTCAGCATCACTGGCCCCAGTCCCCCCACTGCCTGCTTGGCCCAGGCGGCACTGGCTTCGGGTGCGGTTCTTGCGAGAACACCCCGGCCTCCGGCGAGGGCCAGTGGTGGGCAGTCCTGGTGGCTCGGAGCCCTCGGGCCGCAGTACAGTCAGTGGGGGCTCCGCAGAGCTGGGCAGGGTCCCAAAGGGAGAGTCATTGATGTGCCGTGGGCCTGAGCCATTACTAGGTGGGCTGTCACCAGGTGGTACACGCCCCTTGAGTGCATTGCCGGCTGAGGCTGGCCTCCCAGGCTCCAGCACTGAGGCCTTGTCTGCAGCATCTGGCTGGCAGCACTTAGGCAGGCCCAGCAGCTCCTCCTCGGTGAGCCTGCCCATCTGGACAGGATGGAAGGACCCAGCAGTCACAGCGCAGCCCTCCAGGTCACTGGCAGCCAGGCGCTTGAGGTCACGGCCAGCTAGGCGTGAGGGGAGGCTGCAGGGCACCTCTGATGAGGACCCGCGAAACTTCTGCAGCCAGGCCCAGAGTGGGCGTGCCCGGCAGTCGCACACCCAGGGGTTGTCATTGAGCCGCAGGTACTGCAGGGCCCCCAGGGGCGCCAGGGCCTCGGAGGGCAGCATGGAGAGGTTGTTGGCAAACAGGTAGAGCGTCATGAGGCGGCCGAGGTCACGGAAGGCGTGCGGGTGCACACGGGCCACGTGGTTCTGGTGCAGGAGGAGGCGGTCGAGGCTGTGCAAGCCACGGAAGGCGCGCTCAGGCACACTAGGGATGCGGTTGCCGTGCAGGAAAAGGTGTGTGAGGTTGCCCAGGTCACGGAAGGCGTCATCAGGCAGTGCCTGCAGCCCGTTGTCTTGCAGGTAGAGGTACTGCAAGGCAACCAGGCCACGAAATAGGCCAGGGTCCAGCTCCCGCAGGCCGCAGCGGTCCAGGTGCAGCGTATGCAAGCGGCCCAGGCCTTGGAACGTAGCGGGGTCCACTGCACGAAGCTGTGCGTTGTCGCTGAGGTCCAGCTGTTCCAGGAGGGTCAGGCCAGCAAAGGCAGTTGCGTCAATTCGGGACAATGCATTGGAATGCAGCCACAGGATGGTGAGATTGCGGCAGGCGTGGAAACTGGAGGCTGGCACGTGGGAGATGCGGTTGCCGTGCAGGAAGATGCGCTGGCTGGTGGCTGGGATGCCAGCAGGCACGGCCTGCAGGCCCTGTTGGGGGCAGCTGGTCGTCACCTTGGGCTCATTGTAGCACACGCAAGCACCAGGGCATGGTGTCGCCACCTGCCAGGCCTGTAGCCACAACACCCATGCCAGCAGCCGGCTCCCTGTGGGCAGAGGAAAGGACGGTCAGCAGGCCACCCCTGAGAGGTGGGGTAATGCTGGAGCCAGGTTGGCCCAGTTGGGATTGGGCCTTGGGAGAGTCTGGGGCAGGGTCCAAGAGGAGGCCACCAACCTGAAATTGGGGATATTGAGATTTCTGTGTTACAAGCCACATAGATGATGCTGAGCAACAACTGCCCCTGAGTCACACACTCCATACTAGCGTTTGCAGACTCCCCATGCCACCACCCCAGCTGACCCTCACGCTAACTGACATGACTACTACTCATTCCTCATATCAGGGTTTACCCACTGAATCATGCACAAATCCCATTTGAAGGCCTCCCAGGGCGGCTACTCGTACTTGCAGCCATCTTCTGGGGATTCTAGTGAGTGCAGAGCCCCTGGGCCTGCCGCCACCTCCAAGCATTCCAGTGTTATCACTGGCCTGCCCCAGCCAGCCCTGCGCAAAGCACCGGACAACCAGCCACGCTGGTTGGGGAAGAGGAGCCCCAAGTCAAGACTCGCCCCCCCAAGTCTGCCAGGCAGCCAGCCATTGAGCTTTAGGTAGCTTCTGCAGCAGCCTCTCCTCCCAGGCTGCAGAAGGGGTTGACTGGCTTGGTCTTCCATGGTCTGTCCAGGCCCTTGCAGCTCTTGATAGCCCCTGGCAACTGGGATTCTTAAAAGCCTCCTCATTTTGTAGTGGGGATAGGTGCTTTCATGAAGAAACAACACCACCACCACCCCTTCCTAGGCTCTGTACCTACCCAGGAGTCCCAGGTTAGGCTCCCATTTAGTGAATCTAATATCATAAGAACAAGACCCTGGGTACAGGGGGAGAGGGTGGGTAAGAGGAATGCAGCCCTGCCCTGGGAGTCCCCTCACCCCCACCCCAGGCAGGCTGCTCCCTCCTCCACACATCCTCCCTTTTAAGCACTTCCTGACTTGGCTCCAAACACCTCCTGCAGCCTCCTCCCCTGGCCTCATTCTCTGCTCCATCCCCACCCAGGGAGGAGTTCACTCCCTCCCAGCCAATCCCTGCACAACGATCCCAGCTCAACCTTCCCACCCTGACTCACCTTCCACCAGGTCAGTGTGTTCTCCCCCTTCCTTGATCCAGAGCCCAGACACACCTGGGGTTTCACTAAGGACCTAACCAGCAGTGAACCTCTGCTGGGGCTAGGATGCCACTTCTAGACCTGGCCTCACCAGCAGGCCATCCCCAGCAGGAAGCTTCACTGCCTGTCACAAGAGCCCCACTCTCCTCTGAAGGCTGAAGGTTCTTTCTGGCTTCAGGAGAGTCTATTAAAATGTGAATCCCCCTGGGAGGGTTATGGTTTATCAGCTAACACCTTCATTGACAGCTAACACCTGTGTTGACAGCTAACACCTTCCTTGGAAGCTAGCTAAGAGCAGAATTCTGCAGACAGGAGACCAGCTAACTGCTGGGAACCAGCAGAGGAACCCAGAGGGAGAGGGCCAGTGGCCAGCTTCTCCTACCCAGGAACATAACCCTTGGGCCTCTCACTCACATTGGGCCCCCTATCACATGGGGTCCTCTTCTGCCTGGAGCAGAACAGACAATTGTCCTAAATCCAGAACCCCAGCAAGTCAGTCAAGTGTAACTGTCATCAGGCAGCTCCCCCAAGTCCTGGGATCTCTTCTCCATAGCCCCCAAGGGTCTCCTCTGCTGAGCTCTGCCCTGATGGGCTAGAGGCCATTTACTGGTCTCCAGGAAGATGGCAGTCTCCGGATGGGGGTCCACAAGGGGGAGTCACCAGGCCCTGGGTACACCGCTTGGGCTGGCCATGTGTGGGACACACTTTGGCCCGATGTTCTGTTTTAGCTGTTGAATCCTCTCCTTGCTCCCCTCTTATACATCCTCCCTGGGAGAGTGGAGCCTAACCATGCATATAGCCCAGGAGGACAGTGTGCCATGTCAACAGCATTCCCTGGCCTGGGGCTTCAGGAAGACCTGGGTCTGGGGTGGTGTGGGGCCCTCAGCACCAACAGGCCAGGCTGGAGACCCCACTGCCATGTACAGGCCACATCACCCATAGCTACGCCATTGCACATACTATTTATCACCCATACTGCACTATGCCACTGACTGGGTCTCTCTGAGACTGGGTTGTGCTCCCAACCTCTCCGTGCCATCCACCATACATGGTGACCATGCCAGCACTGCACCATGTCCTGTGGTTCCCAGGCCTGAGACTATGGTCTGAGAGCTTGGCTGGGGTTGGTACCCATGTTGGTTTGAGGACCAAGCCACAACAGGGAGGTGGGCAATTGAGGGAGTGGCTGTATGGTGCTCAGCACTGCCAGAAACATGTAGCAGGCACAGAGACACGGCTGCATTTCTGCCGAGACAACTCCTTTTTGGAACTTCTGAGAGTTGGCCCTCTGCACCGGCCCTGCTGCCAGTGCAGTGGCTGAGGTGGGCTCTCTTCTGCTGCAGCCACAGTAATTGGCTCTAGCCTGGCCCCCCTTGGGGCCTGCCTGCTGGTCTCCATGGCAACCCCTCCACTGAGCAAGCATGAGGGGGCATCTTTTTATGAGATAATCAAACCCAACTTTGCAGCATGGGTTCGGATTCACAGAGGGGGCTCGGGAAACACCGGAGACTTGGTCAGGCAGAGCGAGGGCATCCCCTGGTCCTGTTTTAGGGCTGCCTCTTCTGACCTCTCCATGCCTCTACTTTGGATGGCAACCATCTGCACCCAAAAAAGGCCTTCCTGGCACACCCATCTGGACTCTGCAGCTTGTTGCATGACCTCTGAACTCCAGGTCTGGTTCCTTTCATGCCTACCTCTCCTTTCTCTCTCCCCAACCTGTCCACTGATTCTCACAGAAGACTGTGTCCTCCTGGAGACCGGCCAAACACTCCCTGCCTCCTCTCAGTCTCTACCTGCCACTCTGACCCAGTCTCATTTGAGTCCCAATTCTCTGTGAGCACTCAACAAGACTGCAACTTCAGGTACAGGGGGAGAAAAGAGCCCTGAGTGGCCCCTACAGATACCTGAGCCTGTCTTCCAAGCTATGCACAAACTGGTGTCTCTCCTGCCATCTCCAGGCCAATTCTCATCAGACCTGCCAGGTGGGGGCCTCTTCCAGGGCCCTCCCCACAGACAGCCTAGCCCTGCTGGCTATGGGAGCTATGTCACAGCAAGGAGCTCCTGCTTTAGCCTAGGTCTGGCTCTGGGAAGAGGGATGTCCAGAAGGCTCTGAGATTTCCCAGGGAGATCAGGAATTGGATACTGGATACTGGCCTGTTCCCTCCCCTCCTCTCCAACCACCCCCCACGCCACGCCAACCAGGGCAGCCAGACCAGGGAGAACACAACCACTGGGCTACATGCACTATTCATCCTGCACCACCAGCAAAGAGCCTATGTTCACGGTCACTGCAGGAGGGGAGGGAGGGAGGATGAACGAAAGAGAGGGAAAAGGAGAAAAGAGAGGAAGGAGAGTGAAGTAGAGAAACGAGGGATGGAAGGAGGGGAGGGAAGGGAGGAGGGGAGAAGGAAAGTGGAAGAGCTAGAGGGAGGAGGCCAAGGGGACAGAGATGTGTGGAGGGAAGTGGGGAGGAACTGGTGGGGGGTGGGGAGAGAGGCTTCTGGGGAAGGCTTATTAGCAGCCTCAGGAGCCAGCAGGCAGGCAGCTGCTGAGGTCAGCAGCCCACCTCAGCAGCCAGTTGAGCCACAGAGCCAGGATTGCCTTCTATGGTGTCTTCCCTGGGGCCTCTGCTCCTGGGCCCCCATGTGGACACCCTCTTGACACCAAGAGACAGTGCAGGGTCGACAGCTTTTCAGGACCAGAGCACTGGCTTTCCTCCATCCACCCTCCCAAAGCAGAAACAGTCACCTCACGGATTTTCGGGGGATCAGACCAGCTGGTATAAGACATGAGTTGGTGCTATATAAGAAATAGTTTTCTTATCAATATTGCCAGCCTGTTTTACAGATCAGGAAACTGAGTCAGTGAGTGGTTAAGCCCTGCCAGGCTCCCACCCTGAGACTGTCCAGGAAGAAAAGTAGGTGACAGAAGGAACCAGAGTGCTGCCGGGAGGGGACTTAGAGGAGTGTCGTCTAAGCATGGAGGGATGCTGTGTGTGGTTTAGGTAGGAACAGGCACTGGGGGCACAGGGCTCTCTCTTGTATTATTGACAGCTGGGAGAGGACATCTCCAGGGAGGCTCTGAGTTGGTGTCTTCCAGCTTGGAGGCTGGGGTCAGAAGGCTGTAGATGGGGTAGGGACATTGGTCAGCTCCTAATCCTCTCAAATACCAAGGATGCCCCATGAAGCGGTTACAGCACAGACCTCAGTTATAAGGCAGAACAGCTCAGCACATCGACACCAGAAATAGCTCCAGGAGGGGGTGTAGGGGCTGGTGTCATTCCTAGGCTGCAGAGGGTCAGGGCACCCCTCCCTGTGCCTATTCCCCACTCCTACCAGCCCCCCACCACTGACTCACCCCCCCCCGCCACTGGCCATCTGTCCTCCTCATCCTCACTCGTTTCTCACACTCACTGCCCACCGTCCATCCGTCCTTGGTCCCACAGACATGTGCAGAGGCAGTCAGTGCCCTTCCTGGGCCACGGTGATGGGGGCAGGAGGGTTCCAGCAGCCCCCTTGTGTGTGTGTGGGTGTAATTCGCCCTCTTGACAAGACACAAGACACCCTCCTATGTCTCCTGAGGATGTGGTCACCAGTCCCTGCTGCCCTGTCTGGGCCCCTTGAAGCCCCATTTTCTTATTAATCTTGGCTGCAGAGCAGGGCAGGCAGGCCAGGTCGATAATGGGCAAGGTTACCCACCATGACAGGAGGACATCAGACCCAGGTTGATACACTTGAGCCCCAGCCATGTGCTGTGGGGAAACTGAGGCCCTCTGTGGGCAGATCTGTTGGGACCGTCCTTTTGGCAGCACTGGGTAATCCCTCTGGCTTTGTCCCTGTCCAGCCCATTCCTGCCTCATGATGCTGGGCTTGCCCAAGAGAACAGGG